CAACCACTCACTCACTGACTCATTCACTCACCCAACCACTCAATCACTGACTCATTCACTCACCCAACCACTCACTCACTGACACATTCACTCACCCAACCACTCACTCAATGACTCATTCACTCACCCAACCACTCACTAACTGACACATTCACTCACCCAACCACTCACTCAATGACACATTCACTCACCCAACCACTCACTCGCTGACTCATTCACTCACCCAACCACTCATTCACTAACTCATCCACTCATCCAACCACTCACTCACTGACTCATTCACTCACCCAACCACTCAATCACTGACTCATTCACTCACCCAACCACTCACTCAATGACTCATTCACTCACCCAACCACTCACTCACTGACTCATCCACTCACCCAACCACTCACTCACTGACTCATTCACTCACCCAACCACTCACTCACTGACTCATTCACTCACCCAACCACTCACTCACTGACTCACTCACACTTCTCTTTTCTGAATTTTCCGATCGCACCGCTCCACTCTGGAATTCCCTCCTCCCATCATCATCATCATCACCACCACCACCATCGTCATCATTAAACTCTTGCAATCATTATCACCTTCATCTCTAGTATCCTTTTGTTTTATTGCCGTTTGTTGCTGGCCGCTCGACGCGCTGAACTCCGCGACCGCAATTACACCAGCGAGCGGCAACGCGGACGTTCCGGGACACGAGGTTCGTGACAAATACCTGGCAATCCACAGCGATGCGTGTTGCCGTGACGGGCGTGGCCGCCGCACGTCACTGACATCCCACGCGCAGCCGACCTCTCTCTCTCTGTTTTTTTTGTTACGATAAGAGGAAACAAGAAGACGCTCCGTGTAGTCGGCACTTTGCTCCGTTCATAATTTCGTTTTTTTTTGTAATGCTTTGCTTTACGTAACCCCCCCCCCCCCCCAGCTTTTTAAATGAAAGATTTAACAAAAGGTTTCTCGCTCTGTCCTCCTTACCCCTTCCCTCTCTGTCTACCCCCCTCTATACCCCCCCTCTCTCTACCCCCTCTATACCCCCCCTCTCTCTACCCCCTCTCTTCCTACTCCATGTCGCTCTCTCTCGCTCGCTCTCCCTCTCTCTCACTCTCTTTCTATAACTACGACAAGTGCTGCATCTGCACGCAGCCCTTCCCACAGTCCTACGGCCTCCGACGGGTAGCTCAGATCTGCATGCACAGAGCTCTCTACCGTCATCTGCCACCGAGCACACGGCCTCCTCCAGCGCCCACTGCTCCTTGAAGGCCGGCACGGCGTGGGTCGGCCACGCATGGCGGAACTCCAGCCACACCCTGGCTCCGACCAGAGCGCAGAAGATGCCCAGGCTGCTGGCCGGACGTTGCCCCTCCAGGGCCACCTTCCTCGCCCTGTATATGGCGAGCTTGGCGTAGCCGAAGAGCACGTTGACCGGCCCCTGAAGATGTTGGGGTCCGTCGCCCTTCGGGTATCCAAAGATGAGGACCGTCGGGGAGAAGTGGAGGCTGAACCTTAGGAGGATGTTTCTCAGGACCTTGAACAGCGAGTCCAGGCTCTTACACTCCACGTATTGGTGCGCCACCGTCTCCACTTTACCGCAGAACCGGCACTCCGGGGACGTGTCGGTGAAGCACGCCGGGGAGGCGTTGGTGGTGACGGTGCCGTGGGTGATGCTCCAGCTGAGGTTGCCGATGCGGTTGTACGTCGGGCTGGAGTGGAGTTGCCTCCAGCGAGGCCTCTCCAGAGAGACGCAGGGAAGGGCTTTCCTCCAGGCATGGTCCTTGTGGCTCCTCAGGGTGTCCTGTTGGTGGAACCGGACCATGTAGGAGTAGAGCACCTTCCTCTTTACATTTGCGAAGGCCGGCACAGGTTGTGATCCGCCTTCGTTTGTCGGCATTGGCGATGCAGTGGCACGACTGAGAGCTCCGGTGGAGGGGGATCAAGAGGGGCCTCGTCCTCCCCAACGCCGATGGGGGGCGTTCTCCCCGCTGCCGCTGAGAAGGCCCCCTTGGCTTCGGCCAGGATCCGGGCAGCCACCCGGAGCGACTGCAGCCCCCCTGTCTTTGCGGCCACGTCTGCTGGTCCGAGCCACCGGCCCCGTGTTTCAGGCTCCACCAGATCTCCCATCCTGGTGAGCCGCGCGTTGGCGAGGCGCCTCTCCATACCTGGGGTGGCGGTGGTGGATGGCAGCTTTATCTGTGGGTTCCTGAGGATCGGTTCGAAGACCAGATCCTCGGCCGATCGCGGTTAGTTCAGCCTCCTGACGGCGAGGGAGCTCCATGTCTGCAGGACGCTCCTGTAGAAGGGTGGCAGCTGTCCCAATGGGAGGCCCTGCAGGTCCATGTAGAATACTGTCTGTCTCTGTCTGTCTCTCTGTCTCTCTCTCTGTCTCTGTCTCTCTCTGTCTCTCTCTGTCTCTCTGTGTCTCTCTGTCTCTCTCTGTCTCTCTCTGTCTATGTCTCTCTCTCTGTCTCTCTCTCTGTCTCTCTCAGTATCTCTCTCCCTCTGTCTCTGTCTCTCTCTCTCTGTCTCTCTCTGTCTATGTCTCTCTCTCTGTCTCTCTCTGTATCTCTCTCCCTCCGACTCTCTCTCTCTGTCTCTTGTGTGTGTTGTTGTCACCGGCGGGGAGCGGTGGCGCAGCGGTTTGCGCACTGCACTATGACCCCCTCCCCCACCCCCGACGCGAGGTTCGATTCTCCAACTCGTGACCAACACCCAGCGATGGCGATTGTTCGGGCCTGGAATGAGCACCCCGGTGGGCACCCCGGTGCGGTGTGTAAAAAAAACATCGCCACTAGGGGAGACAAAGGCGGCCGGGCGTGGTGCTGGCCACCAACCCGCTCGTGTGCCACAGTGCCGGCCTTCATAGGTGATACTCGCTAACAGCACTTGCCCCAACAGTCTGTTAAGGCTACACGGGGGATCTTTGTCTCTGTGGTGTGTGGCCCTGTGTATGCGTGCGGCCACCCTGATGAACAGAGCAATGCCATCCCGAGAGACGCGCTTCGACTTGCCCCAACAGTCTGTTAAGGCTACACGGGGGATCTTTGTCTCTTGTGTGTGTGGCCCAGTGTATGCGTGCGGCCACCCTGATGAACAGAGCAATGCCATCCCTAGAGACGCGCTTCGACTGCCACCACGTGAAGGATGAATGAACACTGGCAAGCGGAGGCGGCCGTGGGAGGTCAGAGGGCATCAGAATATATATATTTTTGCTTCATTTCCACTGCGGGAGATCATCTTTATTTAGAATCTTATTTTTCTCTTATCTTCATTTTGTATCTTTATTTTCATCTTCATTTAGAATCTCATTTTTTAAAATTCATTTCGAACCTTTAATCCGAAGATCGAAGCTCTTGTTGTTGTTGTTGTCCACAGATGTGTCCAATGTAGGGAGGGGTCAAGAGGTCAGAAGATTCCGAGCCGGCATCGCTGAGCGCCTGGGTTCAAATCGGGGACTCTGAGTTGATGATCTCACACCTCCATCCTCAATTACTGCACACAAAGCGACTCGGCTATTAACTGTAATTGGTGTGTACATGTCCCTCGTGTTGGCTAGAGCCCAGCATGGATGTGAATCGACGCTTTGTTAGCCCCCGAGCACCGTTCGACTCAAGTTTGTTTGTGATCGCTGGCTCGGCCCATCATCATCATCATCATCTGTCCCACCCTGCCTCCCTCGGGGGTCGATAAAACTAGTACCAGGCTGTGCGAAAGTCAACGGACACGTCTTCTGTGAAATAGACGTGCGTACACACCCCCCGCCCCCCGCCATAGGAATGTGCAATTTCCAGCATTGCCTCAGTCCTGTAAACTGTACCTGAGCAGCGATGTCTCAACAATTGTAGCAAAACAGAACGTCGCTTCGATCGTGAGTAACGCCTGTGCAGTTGCACAAGTGTGGGTGACCACAGCGCCCCATCATCCCTCCCTCCCTCCCTCAAGGGGTCGATAAAACGAACACCATTGAGGCACTCATTCGCTTTAGAACAGCTGCGTGTGTCGGTGTCGTATTTAGTTTGTTGTCTTTCCCCCCACCCCCGTACCTCCGATTCAACACGCATACATAGCGCGGTTGGCTACGTACGGTGCGAAAGAAGTTCAACACCACACACACACACAGAGAGAGACACACGGACACACGGAATGCCCCACACGGACACACGGAATGCCCCACGTGGACACACGGAATGCCCCACACGGACACACGGAATGCCCCACACGGACACACGGAATGCCCCACACGGACACACGGAATGCCCCACACGGACACACGGAATGCCCCACACGGACACACGGAATGCCCCACACGGACACACGGAATGCCCCACACGGACACACGGAATGCCCCACACGGACACACGGAATGCCCCACGTGGACACACAGAATGCCCCACGTGGACACACGGAATGCCCCACACGGACACACGGAATGCCCCACACGGACACACGGAATGCCCCACGTGGACACACGGAATGCCCCACACGGACACACAGAATGCCCCATGTGGACACACGGAATGCCCCACACGGACACACGGAATGCCCCATGTGGACACACGGAATGCCCCACACGGACACACAGAATGCCCCACGTGGACATACAGAATGCCCCACAAGGACACACGGAATGCCCCACACGGAATGCCCCACACGGACACACGGAATGCCCCATGTGGACACACGGAATGCCCCACATGTCCACGACCGCCGCCGCTAATTGGATGCGGCCCCGCAGTGCAGGTAACGCGTCGCGGAATGCACGCGGAGCGTCTGGGGGGGGGGGGGTGGCCTCAATTGGCATCCCCCTCGCCACACCTTGCCCCCTCCCTCTCCCTCGCCCCCCCTCTCCCTCGCCCCCCCCCCTCCCTCGCCCCCCCCCCCCTCTCCCTCGCCTCCAACTCAGCACCACACCCCCCAACTCCCCTCCCCCGCCCAGCCCCGTCACCCCCCTCCCTCCCCCTCCCTCCCCCGTGCCGTCTGCGGCGTCTCGCTCAGCGCAGTGGCCCCGTGCAGGTTCGGGGCGTGGGGGGCGCCGTGTCCCCGCCTGCGTCTCTCTCTCTCTCTCTCGCTTCTCCTTTCCGCGGAGAGGTTTTGTGTCCGTGTCGTTTGTCGTCAAAGAAGAGACGCCGACGGAGTCGCCCTCTCGCCATCACCCCCCGGGGTGTACCTGGAGACTTTAACACGCAACGCAACTCCGCAGGAATAGGCGAGCTGTGGGGCTAAAGCGTCGACGTCTTCATCATCATCATCATCGTCGTCTTCTTCATCATCATCGTCGTCGTCTTCGTCTCAATCAACACGTGGAGTCCGGGCGCTTTGTTGCTGCAGTTCGTGACATCGCCGGACGGGCCACGGGTGTCCGATATGAGCAGCGGGTAGAGAGAGAGAGGTGAGCGATGTTGTGATGACTCAGCGATGATGTGATGATGATCCAGCGATGATGTGATGATGACCCAGCGTTGTGGTGATGACCCAGCGATGTGATGATGATGACCCAGCAATGATGTGATGATGATGACCCAGCAATGATGTGATGATGACTCAGCGATGATGTGGTGATGACCCAGCGTTGTGGTGATGACCCAGCGTTGTGGTGATGATGACCCAGCGATGTGATGATGATGACCCAGCAATGATGTGATGATGACCCAGCGTTGTGGTGATGATGACCCAGCGATGTGATGATGATGACCCAGCGATGTGATGATGACCCAGCGATGTTGTGATGATGACCCAGCGATGTGATGATGACCCCCGCTGGGGTGGGTTGTGGAGTGAGTGGACGGGGACTCACGCGAGGGGCGACTTCGTGGGCGACTTTGTGGGCGAGTTCGCAAGCGACGACGCAGGTGGACAGCGGGGCGAGGTGGACCAGCGGTGGACGCTTAAGCCAGAAGGGAGGCACCCGGGGGGCTTCACGGATTCGTTGATCGAGTTCGGTGGCGACCCCCTGAATTGTTTCATTTTGCCGCCAGTGTAAGGTGACAGGGGACAGGCGATGTTCACAGGAACAACATAGAGACGCCCCACCTCCCCCGTGTAGCCTGTAACAGACTGTCGGGGCAAGTGCTGTTAGCGAGTAGCAGCGCCACCTATGAAGGCCGGCACGGCACGCGATGGGGGGTGGGTGGCCAGCACCACGCCCGGCCGCCTTTGTCTCCCCGGTGGCGATGTTTAAAGCCACACGCAGACAAAGATCCCCCGTATAGCCTTTAACAGACTTTTGGGGCAAGTGCTGTTAGCGAGCGCCTATGAAGGCCGGCACGGCACCACGAGAGGGGGTGGGTGGGCAGCACCACGCCCGACCGCCTTTGTCTCCCCGGTGGCGATGTTTTCACGCACCGCACCAGGTTGCTCATTTGAGGCCGAGTCGACCTAGGGGAGGCCCGGGAACACCCGGCTCAGACAATGGTCACCGGTGTTGGCTGCGAGTTTGGTGACTCGAACTCTGTGTTGGGGCAGGGGGGGGGGGTGGTGGTGACCTGGTTCGTAACCGCTGCGCCACGGCTCACCAGTGACGAGACAACCAGCGGAGAGGAGGAGGTGAAGGCCTAGCGAGGCGTTAGGCGGTAGGGTGGCGCACTGCAGTTACAGCGAATTGGCAGCAATTAACCAGGTGAATCGGCGCGCGCGCGCGCGCTTGGGCGAGGTGTTGTCACTGGCACGAATTACCTAACCAGAGGGGCAGCGCGCTAGGAGGCATGGGTGGGTGCAGTGCCGGATGAAGTTCGTGCGGGGCCTGTAGCATGATGTTATGAAGGGGCCCTAAATGAAAAGCAAAAAAAAACACGCAACTGTTGAAACACGTAAATGTTTAATTTGCATAGTAAAGTAATTGTATTTTTTTCATTCGCTTTACGGCCAGATAATGGGACAGATCGCTAACCATTAAACACCCGGTCGTTGATAAACGTTGAAGGCGGTATAGTACTCTAGTAATAGAGCAAGTGCAGAATCACTGGACAGGAATTGATAGCTCGAAAGCGTTTGGCGCGGGGCCCTTGAAAGTGTGGGGCCCGTAGCTACTACTACACGTGTAGTAGTAGCTACGTGTAGTAGTAGCTACTACTACACGTGTAGTAGTAGCTACTACTACACGTGTAGTAGTAGCTACTACTGCACGTGTAGCTACTTTTGCTACGACGATAATCCGGCACTGATCACAGCAGCGGCTGATTCGCTCCAGCCTCTGACTCACCAGGCGGTCGGTCACCTCCGTGTCGCTCTGCTAGCGCCACTGCCACTGCTGCTCCTGCCACGGTCACTGTCACTCGTTGATTCCTCCGCTGTTACTTTTGCCACGAGGATAATCCGGCACTGGGTGGGAAGTTGTTCTACGATCGGTCAGCAGTTAGGCAAGGAGGAGTAGGGTCAAACATGCAATCGGTAGAGATGGGCAGGCATCTAGATCGCATCTAGATCGCATCACGATCGCCCTCAAATGAAAACACGTGGCGAGATCACGATCACGCTCAAATAAAAACACGTGGCGAGATCACGATCACGAGCAAATTAAAACACGTCACTAGATCACGATCGCGCTCAAATTAAATCACGTGGCGAGATCACGATCACGATCAAATTAAAATACGTCACTAGATCACGATCGCGAGCAAATTAAAATACGTCGCGAGATCACGATCACGAGCAAATTAAAACACGTCGCAAGATCACGATCGCGCTCAAATAAAAACACGTTGCTAGATCACGATCGCGAGCAAATTAAAACGCGTCGCTAGATCACGATCACGAGCAAATTAAAACGCGTGGCGAGATTACGATCACGAGCAAATTAAAACACGTCGCGAGATCACGATCGCGCTCAAATAAAAACACGTTGCTAGATCACGATCGCGAGCAAATTAAAACGCGTCGCTAGATCACGATCACGAGCAAATTAAAACGCGTGGCGAGATTACGATCACGAGCAAATTAAAACACGTGGCTAGATCACGATCGCGAGCAAATTAAAACACGTCGCGAGATCACGATCGCGCACGCGCACATTCATGATTTCCACTGAAACGAGACGACTCAAAAAAAGTGCAGTCAGTTAACCCGGCGATTCGTTTCGACGTCGCAGTCCAGCCCAGCGGTTCTTAACCTTTACTGGACCCTTGCACCCCTTTGATTCGTAATCGTTAACAAATGTACAATGTTAATAGCTACGTAGGGTATGATGAAACAAAGTTGCAACTTACGTTGCCCCATGCTTCATTTGTGTTCCGATGATTTACCTTCTAAAAAAATTTGCCCATGTCTCGCACGACCCCAGAAAGGGGATCCCGCACACCTCCAGAAAGGACAGCTCACACACCCCCAGAAAGGGCATCTCGCACCTCCAGAAAGGGGATCTCACACCCCCAGAAAGGGCATCTCACACCCCCAGAAAGGGGATCTCGCACGCCCCCAGAAAGGGCATCTCACACCCCCAGAAAGGGCATCTCACACCCCCAGAAAGGGCATCTCACACCCCCAGAAAGGGCATCTCACACCCCCAGAAAGGGGATCTCGCACACCCCCAGAAAGGGCATCTCACACCCTCAGAAAGGGGATCTCGCACACCCCCAGAAAGGGAATCTCACACCCCCAGAAAGGGCATCTCACACCCCCAGAAAGGGGATCTCGCACACCCCCAGAAAGGGAATCTCACACCCCCAGAAAGGGCATCTCACACCCCCAGAAAGGGAATCTCGCAACCCCAGAAAGGGCATCTCACACCCCCAGAAAGGGCACCTCACACCCCCAGAAAGGGCACCTCACACCCCCAGAAAGGGCATCTCACACACCCAGAAAGGGCATCTCACACCCCAAGAAAGGGCATCTCACACCCCCAGAAAGGGCATCTCACACCCCCAGAAAGGGCATCTCACACCCCCAGAAAGGGCACCTCACACCGCCAGAAAGGGCACCTCACACCCCCAGAAAGGGCATCTCACACCCCCAGAAAGGGCATCTCACACCCCCAGAAAGGGCATCTCACACCCCCAGAAAGGGCATCTCACACCCCCAGAAAGGGCACCTCACACCCTCAGAAAGGGCATCTCACACCCCCAGAAAGGGCATCTCACACCCCCAGAAAGGGGATCCCGCACATCCCCAGAAAGGGCATCTCACACCCCCAGAAAGGGGATCTCGCACACCCCCAGAAAGGGAATCTCACACCCCCAGAAAGGGCATCTCACACCCCCAGAAAGGGGATCTCGCACACCCCCAGAAAGGGAATCTCACACCCCCAGAAAGGGCATCTCACACCCCCAGAAAGGGGATCTCGCACACCCCCAGAAAGGGCATCTCACACCCCCAGAAAGGGCATCTCACACCCCCAGAAAGGGGATCTCGCACACCCCCAGAAAGGGCATCTCACACACCCAGAAAGGGCATCTCACGCCCCCAGAAAGGGCATCTCACACCCCCGGAAAGGGCATCTCACACCCCCAGAAAGGGGATCTCGCACACCCCCAGAAAGGGCATCTCACACCCCCAGAAAGGGCATCTCACCCCCAGAAAGGGCATCTCACACCCCCAGAAAGGGCATCTCGCACCCCCAGAAAGGGCATCTCACACCCCCAGAAAGGGGATCTCGCACGCCCGTGGGGTGTGTGGTGCACCCCAGGTTAAGAAGAACCACTGGTTTAGAGTATTTGGCTGCAATAAATGTCCACACGATAAGTCACTTCCATGAAGCTATCATTTGTGATTGTCGGGCCTCTTCTAAAAAAGAGCTACAGGGCTCAGCGGGGCCTTGCGCCTGGTAAAATAAACAATAGTTTAAATATTCTTGGTTCTTTTGGTAAAGTCACGTAGAAGGGAAACAATAAAATAATAAAAATATAATAAAAACCACACCTGATGATGATGATGATTGCTTGTGTTGCAGTCGAAACGTCGTGATAATTTTATTGTTTTATATTTTTATTATTTTATTGTTTCCCTTCTACGCGGTGACTTTACCGAAAGAACCAAGAATATGAATCACTGCAGTCACGAAAGCTTAAAATAAACAAAAATAATTGAAATAGTTTAGTGGCGTGAGCGAGCACTTTCAGGGGCATGCACATTTTCCTGTTTACCTAGTCTGGTAAAAATGTGAACGTACCACACTCACACACACTCCCCATCTCTCCAGATCGAGGAAGAAGCCACTGCAGGAGGCGGTTAAAGAGGTGCGAGAGACAGCGCGAGGGGAATGGGCGAGCCCGGGACCTCATCGCCACGGCACCACGCCGCCGCCGCCGCCGCCGTGACCGCAGGAGGCGGTCGCTTACTGCGCCCCGTTCGCCCCACGGCGGAGGCGCTCGCCATTCGGGGTCCGTCCCCAGCTCGGCGTGACGACGACAACGACCCCGACCGCTGCCGTAGCGGCGGCGGAGCGACCGGGGAGCGAGCGGCGCGGGGAGACCGCAGAGCGTCGCGAGAAGCCGAGGTCGGGGCTCCGTGGCGAGCGGAGCAACGGGGCGGAGGGGACGATTGGGCCGGAGGAGGAGGAGGAGGCCGCGCCAGCGTCCTGCGGGAGGAGCGGCCTGGAGGTCGGCAGACACTCGGCGGCGCGAGGCAGGAGAACGGCGTAAGAAGGGCACAGCCTCCGGGGGAAGACGAGGGAGAGCCCAGGAAATGGAAGAGATGGGAAGCCAGGAGCCCTGCCCAGGAGGATGCCGGCAGGCAGGAGGGAAGAAGACCTGCCCTGTCTCCGCTTGAGAGGCCCAGGGGTCAAGACGCACTCATGGAAGCCGACAGTCCTCCCCGTGAAGGATCGAGGAGCTTTCAAAGGAGGGGCACTGACGGCTCTCTGCAGGAGGAGCCCGCGGCTCAGGCGAGAAGAGGATGGGCGAAGTCTCTCCATGAAGACGCGAGGAGGTGCGAGAGGCGGGCAGCAGTACCGGCAGCAGCAGCAGCAGCAGGGATTCCCGCCTTCGAGAAGTCCAGGAGCCAGGAGAGATTCTTCGATTCTGACGGTCCTCTCCGTGAAGAGCCTAGGAAGTGGGAGAAGTGGGTAGAAGCTGGGGGTTCTCTCCGCGAAGGCTCCAGGAGGTGGGAGAGGCAGGCCATAGCTGGGGGTTCTGTCCGTGAGAAGTCCAGGATTTGGGAGAGGCTAATCGAAGCCGAGAGTCCTGCCCTTGAGAAATCCAGGAGTCAAAGCAGGCCGATAGAAGTCAACGGCTCCCCCCGTGAAGAATCCAGAACATGGAGGGGAAGAATAGCCATCGAACGTTTCCTGCGAGAGGAGGAGGAGGAACCCGGGACGAAGGGACTTAGGGGATCGGCAGGTCATCGTCTTGGCGAGCCCAGGGGTCTTGAAAGGCAAGGGGCTTCAACTTCCCTCCACGAAGATTCCAGGAGGTGGAAGAGACAGGCGGCAGCCGGGGTTCCCCTCGTTGAGAAGTCCAGTGACGATGATAAACGACTGCATTTGGAAAGTCTTCTCTCTGACGAAGCCAAGGGGCGGGCAAGGCAGGCAGAAGCTAGCGGTCCTCTCCGTGAAGGCTCTAGCGGTTCAAGGAGAGGGGTCGAGGCCGTCCTTCACGACGAGCCCGTGACACGTGGACAAAGAGTATTAGCAGGCCATGCTCTTGAAGAGCCCAGGGGTGTCGAGAGGCGAGGGGTGTCGAGCTCTCTCCATGAAGATTCTGGGAGGTGGAAAAGGCAGGCGGCAGCCGGGTTTCCCCTCGTTGAGAAGTCCAGGGAGTGGGAGAGACGAATGGATCCCGATGGCCCTCCCGGTGAACTATTCAGGAGTTCGAGAAGAACGGGAGCAACTGAGAGCTTCCTGCAGGAGGAGCCCACGGTGCAGGGAAAGAGAGGATCGGTGATTTCCCTCTCTGAAGAACCCAGGAGGTGGGAGGTGCGGGCAGCAGCAGCAGCAAGGATTCCTGTCCTAGAGAAGTCCAGGAGCCCGGAGGGCCTCTTGGATTCTGACAGTCCTCTCCATGCAGGGCCCAGGAGATGGGAGAAACGGGTAGAAGCCGGGGGCTCTCTCCGTGAAGAGTCCAACCGGTGGAAGAGGCAAGCATCACCTTGGGGTTCCATCCGCGACAAGTCCAGGCAATGGGAGACAGAAGCCGACTCTTCTCCTGAGCCTCGAAAGGGCACGGACAATCCCGTGGAGTCGGTGGGCCGGGCCCGCATAGCCCAACCCTCAATAAGGAGGCCCTCGCAGACGACAGGCGACCAGCCAGGGTCGCCGGAGAAATTGCCGCGAAGAGACTTGGAGGTGTTGGGCAGTCCCAGACCGGGGATGCTGCCGGCGCGAATGAGGCTTGCGATGCTACGAGAAAAGCTGGCGGCGGAGGGGATGATCCTGCAGGACTCAAAGATGCTCAGGCGGAAATCGTCGGTCTCGACCGGCAACGGGAACCAGAGTCCTGGGACTGGGGTACCAGCCGGTCAGGATAGCCCGAGCGCCAAGGAGAGTGAGGAGGCCGAGGCTGCTACCAAGATTGGGACCGGGGCTGAGACCAAGACTCGGATAGAGACTAGGACCGAGACCGGGACCAGGACTAGAACGAGAACTGACACCGAGATGAAGGCTGACACCAAGGCTAGGATAGAGACAAGGCCCGAGACTGCGACCAAGGCTGAGACCAAGACTGGGACCAGAACTGGGACTGCTATCGAGGCCCAGGCAGAGTTTTCACGTGGAGTGAAGATGCGGAGCGGATTCGCGTCGGAGGGAGACCGCGATCGGGGGCAGAGGTCAAACCACGGGGTCGGAGTTCGTGAAGAAACGGCCCCTACCACGTGAGTACCCGGTTTCCTCTTCCGAAGGTTAATGGGGTCAGTACTTGCATACATGTGCCATCCAGTGTCTATCTACTGCTGGAGGAATGCCACGCTGCCGGTTCAACAGCATTTTGTTCAAACAAGCCCGACTGCCACTGATAGACACTGAATGCTGAAACCGGTTCGGAATTTGGCTCGTGCTGAAACAATCCTGTTGACAGCACGTGCTCCAAGAAGCCCGCGTGTGGCTGGAGGGGGGGGGGGGGAGTAAAGGGACTGTCGTGGTGTTATCGGGTTGCTCCCCCACCCCCTCCTACGGCCCCTCTTGAAAATGTGCGAAGGAGCAGGAGACGTCGTCGGCCAATTTCTTTTTTTAGAGATTATTTTTTTTAGATTATTTACCATTTATTTATTTATTGTTGAAGGAAAAAATGAATTCAATCAGCGCAGCGCCCACCACACACACACATGCGCGCAAAAACACAGTTCTGGGATTGTTTTGTGTTTCGTAGCCCAAAGCGCAATCCTCTCTCTGTCTGTCTCTCTGGATGGCACACACAAACACTGGGCCACACACACAAAGACAAAGATCCCCCGTATAGCCTCAGCAGACTGATGGGGCAAGTGCCGTTAGCGAGCACCTATGAAGGCCGGCATGGCACGCGAGAGAGTGGGGTGGCCAATACCACGCCCGGCCGCCTTTGTCTCCCCAGTGTCGATGTTTACACACCGCACCAGATACTCACTTTGAAGCTGAGTCGACCTAGGGGAGGCCCGGGACCGGTTCAACTAATCGTCACTGGTGTTGGCCGTGAGCGGGAATGGAACCCGGGTAGCCAGGTTCGTAGCGCAGCGCGCTAGCTGCTACGCTACCGCTCCCCGCACCGATACACACAAAGACAGGGTCTCACACACCCTCTCACGCACACTCCGTCTCACACTGTCTCACACTCTCACAACCCCACCTGACTGTGAAATGTTGGTCGTCATCTCTGCATCTACACGGGGAATCGGCGGTGACTGCCCCGGGCCCCGTGCTACGCTTCGACGTCACGGTGGCTAGGAGATGTTAACTACCTCGCCAGGTACACAGGAGGTCGTGGGTTCGATCCCGACCCTGAACGCCTGCTGCTGTATATTTGGAGTCTGCGTGTCTCTCTCCCCATGGTCGCGTGGATTTTTCTCCGGGTCCTCCGGTATTACCCTCCACATTTAGAATCAGTGACACCACGCATTTAGGGAGTATTTGGCTGCTATTATGAATTTCCACACGATGATTATGATAAGCCACTTTGGTTGGAGCTATCACTTGCGATGGTCAGATCGCTTCTGAACAAAGAGAGCGGCGTAGCAGCTCAGTGGGGCCTTACCTGGTAACTTCAAATAAAAAGTTTGAATTCTAGATTTGAAGCTTTCGTGACTGCAAGGATCCATACTCTTTGGTTCTATTCGGTAAAGTCACGTAGGTAAAAAATAAAACAACAAAAATCACGACGTTTCGGCCACAACACAAGCGGCCTTCATCAGGTGAAGGGACCAGACTGTCTCGAGGACAGCGCTGGAGTGAACACAGCCAAGCTCAGACTACGACCTTTAAGCTGTGTGAGAGGGATTAAGGTACCTCGACAAAGGAATTAGCATAAAAAATAGCATTTAATTGCTAAGTCCGCCAATCAAATGCTAATTTTTTATGCTAATTCCTTTGTCAAGGCACCTTAATCCCTCTCACACAAGCTTAGAGGTCGTAGTCTGAGCGTGGCTCCGATTCATTCCAGCGCTGTCCTCGAGACAGGCTGGTCCCTTCACCTGATGAAGGCCGCTTGCGTTGTGGCCGAAACGTGATTTTTGTTGTTTTATTTTTTTTACCTACGTGACTTTACCGAATAGAACCAAAACGTTTGAAGGCATTGGGGGGGTGGGACCCCCCCCCTCCACCACCACCCCCCCCCCCATATGGATGACCCTGCTTGTGCCTATCACAAGGGGTTGCCACCTCTACGGGTTGGACCCGGACAAAGTCCCAGGGGAATTGGGGCATTCGTGTCCGCCGTGGTGGGATGTTTGCGTGCAGTTGCAGTTGCATATCAGCGGTGCCGTGTTGATTATAGACCGAGTGCTGACGGAGAAACAACGTCCGGGCTTGGTCCGCAGTGGGCTGGGTGGCAAGCCGACTCTATGAAACATGGAGAGGGGGAAAAAAACGGGGAGAAACACGCAGACTCCAAATATACAGCGGCAGGCGTCAGGGTCGGGATCGAACCCACGACCTCCTGTATAGCAGGCGAGGTAGTTAACATCTCATCAGGGTCGTGATCGAACCCACGACCTCCTGTATACCAGGCGAGGTAGTTAACATCTCATCAGTGTCGTGATCGAACCAACGACCTCCTGTATACCAGGCGAGGTAGTTAACATCTCATCAAGGTCGGAATCGAACCCACGACCTCCTGTATACCAGGCGAGGTAGTTAACATCTCATCAGGGTCGGAATCGAACCCACGACCTCCTGTATGCCAGGCGAGGTAGTCAACATCTCATCAGGGTCGGGATTGAACCCACGACCTCCTGTATACCAGGCGAGGTAGTTAACATATCATCAGGGTCGTGATCGAACCCACGACCTCCTGTATACCAGGCGAGGTAGTTAACATCTCATCAGGGTCGTGATCGAACCCACGACCTCCTGTATACCAGGCGAGGTAGTTAACATCTCATCAGTGTCGTGATCGAACCAACGACCTCCTGTATACCAGGCGAGGTAGTTAACATCTCATCAAGGTCGGAATCGAACCCACGACCTCCTGTATACCAGGCGAGGTAGTTAACATCTCATCAGGGTCGGAATCGAACCCACGACCTCCTGTATGCCAGGCGAGGTAGTTAACATCTCATCAGGGTCGGGATCGAACCCACGACCTCCTGTGTACCAGGCGAGGTAGGGAACATCTCATCAGTGTCGTGATCGAACCCACGACCCCCTGTATAGCAGGCGAGGTAGTTAACATGTCATCAGTGTCGTGATCGAACCCACGACCTCCTGTATACCAGGCGAGGTAGTTAACATCTCATCAGTGTCGTGATCGAACCCACGACCTCCTGTATACCAGGCGAGGTAGTTAACATCTCATCAGGGTCGGAATCGAACCCACGACCTCCTGTATACCAGGCGAGGTAGTTAACATCTCATCAGGGTCGGGATCGAACCCACGACCTCCTGTATACCAGGCGAGGTAGTGAACATCTCCCAGCAGCAGCAGCAGCACGAGGAAGAGGGAGGGAGATAACAGAAGAACCGGATCGGCAGAGACAAGACGAGCCAGTTTGAGATACAGTACAACCTGTGTGTGTGCGTAGGGAGCGGTGGTGCAGTGGTTAGCGCTACGCTGCGCTATGAGCCCGGTGACCCGAGTTCGATTGCCGCTCACGGCCACCACCGTGAACCGGTCCTGGGCCACCCCTAGGTTGACTCAACCTCAAATGGGCGCCTGCTGCGGCGTTGTAAAATCATCGCACACTGGGGAAGACAAAGACGGCCGGGCGTGGTGGTGTTGGCCACTCGCCCCCTCGTGTGCCGTGCCGGCCTTTATAGGTGCTCGCTAACAGCATTTGCCCCAATAGTCTGTGAAGGCTATAGGGGGGATATTTGTCTTTGTGCGTCTCTGTGTGTGTGTGCTCAGCAATTATGGGAGCGGTTAGTGCCGTGGTTAGCGCTACGAACCCGGCGGCCCGAGTTCAATTCCCGCTCACGGCGGCCAACACCACCGTTGACGATATTCTGAACCGGTCCTGGGCCTCCCCTAGGTCGACTCAAGCTCAAATGGGTACCTGGCGCGGCGCGGTGTTGTAAAATCATCGCCACTGGAGAGACAAAGGCGGCCGGGCGTGGTGGTTGCTGGCCACCCGCAGTAGTGCCGGCCTTCACAGGTGCTCGCCAGCTCCTCGCCACGGGCAGCACTCGCCCCAAATCCGTAGGAGGCGATAGGGCGAGCGGGCGGGGATCCTTTGTGTCTTTGTGCGTTGCCTAGCAACGCCCCGCGTTGTGTTTACCACGCGGGCGGGCGGCGGCTCAGCCAATGGGGGGCGGCACGCGCGCAGCTGTGGGCGCTGAAGGTCAAACCGAGTGACCTCACCCGCGTCACGGAGTCCGAATGGCATTTTTTTCACCCCTCCCCCCCACTCAATCGTTCATTTGTCGGACGTCCTGCGCCAGTTTTGTTTAGCCCCCCCCCCCCCGCTAACGCCCCCCCCCTAACGCCCCCCCCTAACGCCCTTCCCTAACGCCCCCCCCTAACGCCCTAACGCCCCCCCCATAACGTCCCCCCCACCCCCCGCGTCCCCCACTGAGGTGCAGCAAGCCGTAAATGCGTCCGTGTTCGACGTATGAGTCATGTACGTGCGCTGTGCGTTGAACTTCTTTCTCACCGTGCGTGGCCAACCGCGCTCGCTAATCGGAGGTGTGGGCGGGGGGCAAGGACTACAAACACTCAGCACAACGACAAGCAGCTTCAAAATGAAATTGGTTCGTCAATTTAGACGGTCGAGACTTGAGACGGAATGACAGCCGAGTAGGGTGTCGTCCCCCCCCCCCGCCCGCCCCTCAACTCTCTACGAAGCTACGGGACTTCTGCCAAGAGCATTACGAAGCCGCAGCTTGTGTACAACATTCTCCGGCGCGTGTCGGGACGGGGGCACGGCAAGATCCCACCGTGTCCGTCCAGTGCTCGCTGAGCTGCCTTGGCTTTCGCTTGCCGAACGAACGCGTACCAAGGTCGCACTGATCACGCACGAGGTGCTCGTCACAAAGTCACCCGCAATGCCTTGCTGATCTCGTCAAGGAACATCAACCATCGCGCGAATTCCAGCTGCCCTCGCAGCGGCGGTTTGGCTGAACCATCGAGCCGAGATCGGCGGTCACCGCATCGCGCGGCGCTTTCGGATGCGCTTCTGTGGCCGTCTGCAATGGGTCCGGGCATTTTAAAATCGCCTTATTGAAAACGAATTTCTTTCGAACTGCTTTTTGTGTTTTGGTTTGTTGGCCTTCTCCCGCACCTTCGATTAGCACGGTTTGCTACGTGCGGTGTGAAAGTAGTTCAACACACACGGTTTGCTACGTGCGGTGCGAAAGTAGTTCAACACACAGCACGGTTTGCTATGTACGGTGTGAAAGTAGTTCAAGACACACGGTTGGCTACTTAGGTGCGAAAGTAGTTCAACACACACGGTTTGCTATGTACGGTGCGAAAGAGTAGTTCAGCATAGATGCATGCGCCCGTAGTTAATTCTCGCCCGCGTGCTGCGGTATTATTTATTACATTCAAAATTTGTTTTAACAACGGCGCAAGCGTTTTGGCACCTCGGTGTTAGTCCAGTAGGCCGCTTCCCATTACGTACTCTGCAGGGCAATAATAATGATAATGATGATGTCGAAAAAATTATAATAATCACCAACTCGCAAAGTTTTCCATTGCGAGAGGCACTCGCCACACTGCCGAGTCGCCGATATGGACAGAATGTAATTATTGGGCACGCCAAGACGGCGTGCATATGCAAGCGAAACGATTTAAACTATTTTATTTTACCATGTGAGGACCACTGAGCTCTGTGGCACTTCTTGAGAAGCGGCCGGGCCATCACAAACGATAGCTTTAACGAAGTGGCTCATCACGTGGACATTTTTAGCAGGCGACGAATACTTAAAAGTCTAAACCGCATGTTGATGTTGATTCTAAACGTGGAGGGGCACAAAAACGGAGGGCACGGGTAGAAAAATCCACGCGACCATGGGGAGAGACCAGCAAGCGTCAGGGTCGGGATCGAACCCACCAACCTCCTGCATACCAGGAGAGGGAGTGAACATCTCTGCGGCGACAGCGATATCAAAGGCTGGAAACATCGCCTCCGCAATTACGGTGACGGCCGTGGCTCTGTCGAAAGCAAAACAGTGCCAGACATAGCCATCGCGGCCACAACCACAGCCCGAGGCTTGGAAATAAGGGTACAGTAAAGCTGACAAAACCAGAGTAGGCTTCACCCTAACTGGCAATAAAACAGGTTGTATTAACACGTTCAAGCACCAAAATAGATGACACACCTTTTGAAAGTCATCAAGTCGACATTAGCCACACATACTTGCGGTAAAACATGCAAGCATTCATACTCTGATAATAATGTACGCATTGTATTTTAAACTGATTGGCCTACACCAGAGACCACCATCTTCATGGCCTTGTCGTCTCACCACCTGTGTTGGTCTGGAGAACACCAAAGTGCGAACAGAACAAAGGCAGTGTATCAACGTATCAGTAGCTTCTGATTGAGTAGTTATATCTACGGGACTTTTTTGCCAAAATCAACGTGTGCATAATGCAGACTTGATGCCTTGCAATAGGTGCATCATCTATGTGATGTTTGCCAAAGTCAACGTGTGCATAAGGCAGACTTGATGCCTTGCAATAGGTGTATCACCTACGTGGTGTTTGAACATCTGAACACAGCGCCTGTTTTATATGGCCAGAATGGGTAAACACCAATTCTTTATTTTTTTTTATATACTGGCAAAATAAAGGTGCCATGGATAGAGTACAGCAACACCCCCTTTTACGTCTCCCCCCACCAATTTACGTCTCCCACCCACCAATTTACGTCTCCCCCCCACCTATTTACATCTCCCCCCCCACCCTTTTACGTCGTTGCGGAGATATTTAGTCATTTCCTTAGGAAGGCCGCTACCCGATCAGTGGGAATTGCTGCACCGGAACGTTCTTATTCACGACAAACCTTTTTCGCTGTCGTTGCTGCACCTCTCACCAGATCTCGCACGGCCGACCTCTGCTCGCCCACGGAGGACGTCGTCAAGCAGTCGGCCCGCCGGATCATCGGCGACTACCTGACCCAGCCTCGGCCCATCCACAAACCGCTCCACGCCAACGACGACGGAGGCGGCCCAGAAGATGCCCCGCGGGAGGCAAAGGCGCGACCGTCCGGCGAGAGCGGCAGCGGCTCGCCAGCGACATCGAACGAGGGCGTTCACGGTGGCGGGGTGGGGGCCCCGCACGGCCGACGGGCAGCGGAAGCGGACGTCCCGGGGAGTCACGCTTCCCGGCCGACGGACGATCGCTCGGCGGCGGCGGCGGCGCATTCCGGGCGTCGCTACCGAAACGGTGAAACGCTGAGCCCGAGCCGTGGCGAGCGAGAGGGCGGCACGCTCAACGGCTCGGCGGGGAGAGCGGCGGCAGCGTCCGAGGGGTGCCCGGGAGGCCCGGCCGACGCGTCCGATGATTCGGTGGGCGAGGGCAAGATCGGCCGGGAAGGCAAAGTAGGCGGCAGGGGGTCGTTAGCCCCGAAAGAGGAGAGCCACGTGGAGGGTCAGGGTTCGCTGTACAGAAAGGTGGGGCTACGGGGGCATGGGCAAATGGTCGGCACGGAGGAAGTGGGACGGCAAGAGGAGGGCGCGGGACACGAGGAGCTTGCGTACCGCAAGGGACACTTCAAAGGCCCGGCGTTGGGGCACCTCGAAGGCCCAGCATTGAGCAACAAGGAAGGGTTAACGTTCCCTCAGGAAGGCCTAAGGGAGAAGGACCTTGGAAATGTGAGGGAAGGCCTATGGCACGTGGATGGTGGTGAACGCAAGGAGGTCCGCGATCATAACATGGAAGGATCAACTTATCAATCAGAAGACAAGGAAGGCTTGAAGAAGGAACATTTGAAGGCAGAAAGTCCCACGTCTAAACAGGAAGGCCTAAGCGATCAGGGAAGCCTGAAGGACAACGAGAGAGCTAAAGCTAACAGAACGGAAAAAACGTGGGTCAAGAGCCTCCAAGCAGATGACGAGGGTCTGGTGGTACCCGTGAGGAGGAGATTGAGATATGAGGAAGAGCTCATCGCCAGCAATGACCTCGATTATAAAGTCAAAGACGCAGGTGACCCGGAAGGTCAAGTTGACACAAAGAGCCAAGACGTAGGAACCAAGGAAGACCTGTCGGATGAGGAGGCTGAGGATAAGGACAGTTCAAGGTACAAGGCCTGCCTGGTCCACGTACATGTCCAACCAAAGTGCAACAGAGAAGACGAACTGCGGGGCAGAGATCAGGTGCACACAGGAGATGGCCTGTCTAAGGGTGAACTCGTGATCGACAGGAGAGACCCAGAGATCATGCAGCGGGACGTGAGCCGGGTAGGGGGGTCAGACTCTGAGAAGGAAGATCAGGCCATCGGCGGGGACGATGAATCTCGCCGAGGCTACGGCCTCATGGGCGAGGAGGGAGAGGAGGAGGAGCAGCGGCCTTCGTACGAACGGGAGGATGACGCTCATAAAAGGGATGGTGCCGGCGACAGCAGCAGCCTAACAGGCGATGCACAGGGCATGGGCGATGATTACAAACAGCGAGCGTCCACGATGGAAGATCAAATGGCGAAGGAAGGTTTCACCGGTGGGGAAGATGTGGGACTGAGCCACAAGAACACGTGGGCGCACGCTATGGATAAGAAAAGTCTGGCAAACAAAACACGGAGCCTAGACGATGGCCATACATTCAAAGCGTCGGTGTATAATGAGCAAAGAGAGAATGAAGATTTGACTGGTGGGGATGATTTAGGACTGAGATTTAACAAAGTTTGGGTAAGCGATGGAGAAAATCGTGGTTTGACGAGAAAAGCACAGAGCCTAGACGATGGCCACACATTCAAAGTGTCGGTGTATAATGAGCAAAGAGAGAATGAAGATTTGACTGGTGGGGATGATTTAGGACTGACATTTAACAAAGTTTGGGTAAGCGATGGAGAAAATCGTGGTTTGACGAGAAAAGCACAGAGCCTAGACGATGGCCACATATTCAAAGTGTCGGTGTATAATGAGCAAAGAGGGAATGAAGATTTGACTGGTGGGGATGATTTAGGACTGACATTTAACAAAGTTTGGGTAAGCGATGGAGAAAATCGTGGTTTGACGAGAAAAACACAGAGCCTAGACGATGGCCACACATTCAAAGCGTCGGTGTATAATGAGCAAAGAGAGAATGAAGATTTGACTGGTGGGGATGATTTAGGACTGAGATTTAACAAAGTTTGGGTAAGCGATGGAGAAAATCGTGGTTTGACGAGAAAAGCACAGAGCCTAGACGATGGCCACACATTCAAAGCGTCGGTGTATAATGAGCAAAGAGAGAATGAAGATTTGACTGGTGGGGATGATTTAGGACTGAGATTTAACAAAGTTTGGGTAAGCGATGGAGAAGATCGTGGTTTGACGGGCAAAGCACCGAGCCTAGATGATGGCCACACATTCCAAGCATCTACAAAGGAACACCAACGAGAGAATGAAGGTTTAACTGGTGGAGATGACTTGAGACTGGGTCACAAGACTGCTTGGGCGCACGATATGGATACAAACAGTCGAGCTGACCACGCACACAGCGCAGACTCTGATTTGAAACACCAAGTGTCTCCGAAGAAAAATAAAATGGAGGAGGAAGGTTCCACTGATGGAGATGATTTAGGACTGAGCCGCAAGAACGCATGGGCGCACGGTCTCGATACGAATAGTCTAGCAGGCAACGCACCGAGTCCAGATGATGGCCACACATTCAAAGCATCAATGTATGAAGACCATAGAGAGAAGGAAGGTCTTACTGGCGGGGACGATTTAGGACTTGGCCACAAGGGTGCGTGGGTGCCCGCTATAGACACAGATAGTCCAGCTGACAGCGCACACAGCCCAGACTCTGACTACAAACACCAAGCGTCGACAAAGGAAAATCAAACAGAGAAGGAAGGGTCCATTGATGGAGATGATTTAGGACTGAGCCACAGCAAAGTTTGGACACACAATCCAGAAAATCGTGGTTTGACGGGCAAAGCACAAAGTCTATATGATGGCTACACATTCCAAGAATCTACAAGGGACGACCTAAGAGACCGGGAGGGTTTCACCGACCCGCGCAATGTGGGACCAAGGCACGAGAGCGACTGGGCACGTGGCACACCACAGCCCCGCGAAGACGACGGGGAAAGGCTGCCAGAGGAGGGCAGTGAGCCATTTATAGGCGAAGGCCCGAGTGATGGAAATGGAGGCTTTGAACCGAAGCGTGGCGCAGACCGCGGCGAGGTGAAAGTCGACAACAATGGCACGAGCAACGACGGCCCGGGCAACGGCACAAGCAACAGCATTCTGCGCAGGAGTTTCGGGCACAGCTCCTCCGCAGAAGAGGAGCCCGCGTTCCGAGATGAAGACGGCTTCGGAATCGACGGCGGCGGCGGCGGCGACGATTGGGAAGATGTCACGGCACGCACGCCATGGAGACACCCGCACGGCGGCGACGACGAAAACGCAAAGCCCGAGAACGTTCACAACGGTGGCTCCGGCTATGAGGCACCGGGAGAGAATTCCGATGGTGAGGGGAGAGATGACGACGATCAGAAGAGCGACGCGGGCCACAGCGCGGCCGGGCCGGCTTCGGCGAACGCCGGCTCCATTCCGGTGTTCAGAAGGCCCCGTCTGGCAGATGACGATCGCACGGCGCTGGAAAACTTGGACGACGGTCGGCCTCTGCCTGACGGCAATAAATCCAGAGACTCAGATTCCGCGAATTACCGCATTGGTTCACGGGAGAATGATTTCATCGGGTCCGGTGAATGTCACGGGAGGGCCGAACCCCTCAACGAAAACGCTGCGCGGCTGAACGGAGGTACTGCGGCTTTGAATGGCACCGGCTTGGATAACCTTCCGCAAATCCTCGACCCCCTTAAAGACGTTGATGGCACCGTGGTTGCTGACGAAGGCAGGGGAGGCATTGGGGCGAGCGGCCGCGCGAATGGGGCCGATGCCCCCGGCGCGGCGCCCGGTCACGGGGACGCGGCATCCCGAGGCGACAGCGGCTCGACCAGCGGAGCCTCGAGCCAGCAATGGGTGGACTATTTCGTAGACAGCGGGTCACCAGACCACGACGATGTTCACGGCACGTACGCGCACGTGCCGATTGGCGGCCCCGCCGGCGGAGGCCGCGCGGCGCCGCGTGACGACGGCACGAATCCCTTCCTCTTCGTGCACGACGCCGTCGCGCAGGAAGTAGATGCGGACGGGCGCGCCGGGCGCGGCATTTGGAGCGCCCTGTTCGCCGGGGGCAAGCCGTGCGCCGGGCGTTTCTTCGAAGGCCCCGACGACGACCTGGAGAATCTTCCGGACTGGCTCAGGAGCATCGGCCCCTCACCGAATCCCCTGCCCCTTCCAAGGAGTTCAAGGGACCGTCCCCCACACCAGAAGCATTGGCAGCTTTACAAATTCCTCCCTCCCATCAAAGAGGAGGTGGAGATTCGCACGCGGCCGCCACCGATCGTTATTACTCCTCCGGCGGCCATCACCTTGACGGCGGCGACGGCGGCGCAAAAGACGCCGGATATGATTCCGCCGGCTCTGGCTTCCAACGCCGCGGGTTCACCGTTGCTGCCACGAACGCCAACCTTTGACAAGTACAAGCCACACGAGAACTTCTCGGCAATCGTGTCCAACTCCAAGCAGTCCTACCTGGACATGATCTCCAAGATCAAGACGCGGCCGTCCCGCTTCGCAAAGGATGGGGTTTATTTTCAATCCAAAGATGGGTTTGGCAAATTACCCATGACCAAGAGAAAGAATTACGGTTATTCTTTCTCCCGATCGATGGACAGTGCGGAAGATCTGGAGGAGAAGTCTCCCGCGGAGGAGCAAGTCGCTCGCGAGGATTAGCGGGCTGCGATGGGATTTTTAACGAGTGACACCAGCTGGTGCGGTGACCTTGAGGAGTATCATTTAAAAAGTGGCGTGGAAAAAGTATTTTGAGGAGCAGTGCAAACCGAGAGGTTGGGGCAATGAGATTGAGTAAGCACCGTAAGATGCCAAGGTACATCCGCCCATACATCCCTCTGCGTGCGCGTGTCTGTACACAGACTTACGTGGGTAGCGGGAGTGTAGGGGCTGGCGCGCAGTGTGCTACAAACCTGGCGACCCGAGTTGGATTCCCGCTCATGGCTACCAACACCAGAGACGATTATCTGAACGGTTTCTTGGGCCTCCACTAGGTCAACTTGGTCTCAAATGAGCAACCTGGTGCCGTGTGCAGACATCGACGCGAGGGAGACAAAGGCGGCCGGGCGCGGTGCTGGCCACCCACCTCTCCATGTACCGTGCCGGCCTTGAAAGGTGTCGCTCGCTCACAGCACTTGACCTCCACAGTCTGTTGTGGCTCCTCGGGGTGTCTTCGTCTTGTACACACACAGAGTACTTAGAATGGGTGAGAAACGCGGTGTCATCGGAAACCGGAATGAATGCCGTAATTTTTAATTAAGATAAGCCTTCACGGCCCTTTAAGTCAGCCTACCGTTGGATGAAGGTCTCCCCACGCCGTGTCAGTCAAAAGGGGGATTGACCATACTTCACCGCGCCGGTCAGCGCGGGTTTGGTCAAGTGGGGGGGAGGGGGGGGTGCCATGCCCAGTTCAGGTACGGCGTGGTAAGGTCCCTCATCTAGCAGCGGATTGACAAACGGGCTGCGCGCATACTGTACGTGGTCACGTTGGTGGTTGAAATCAGTACTTAAGACTTAGTTGTTGGTATTTTTTCATTATTTTGTCAGAGGTCATCGAATGTTGCCTTTATTTTGTCGTCGTCGTCCAAGATCCCAAAAAGGCGTTGTTGTGTAATCACGTAACTGTCAACCCCTTATCAGTGCCTACCTTCATGGGATCTCCTTTGCCAGTACCAAAATATGATAATAGGTTCTTCCCCTTTTTTTCTGGCAACAAAACAGCTGTGTTAAGATGTTAAAACACGAAACTGAAACCTTTTTACGAGGAATCATGTCTGCATTCTGACCACAATGCTTGTGCTCAGAATGCACACAAACAACATACTCTGCTAATGTATGCATTGTCCTACCTTATCGCAGACAAATTCAAACCTTATTGGTCGCTCCGTGCCCTTACAAACCTCAACGCTCACCCTAGGAAGTCCCATCGCAAGGGAGAAACACAAAACAATAGGACAAAAAACGAACGCTTTTCACTCAATTTCCCTGCACAAGAATACCGGGTAAACCATATGGGTTGGCACGGTATGCAATCAGCTGCGTCAGCGCCACGCGGCATCGCGTGGCGCTGAAGCAGCCCAGCGAGTCCTCGTTCAACGCGCTCGACGCGTTCCCGAAAAAGTGCCTCGTTTCGCGAAAACAACGTCCCCGTGAACCGCGCAACGACGCCCAACTTTGCCGAGATACCGTGCCGCTACTACGCACAGCAAGCAGGCGCGACACGTGGCCGAGGGTACGCCGCCGCTGCGTTACTGTATCACTCCGCGTACCGTATCGCTCCTTGAGAGCGTTGTTCTCGTCGTCGACCGCTCAGAAACCGCGTTACAACGCGGGTGGCGTTGTGCGAGGAAGTGTTCCCGAATGAAAGGGCCGCGTCGTCAGGGCGAACACCGCCCGGGCGCGTGTGAGCGAGGACTCGCCGACGGATCCGTCGAGTGCGCCGGCGATTTCACACCGGTTCCCATTCCTGCGCGGGTGCGGCGTGTCCGCAGAGGTGGGGAAACGGCAGTGGCTGAGTGGTCAGTGCACCGAAACTACGGACCCGGCGACACGGGGTTCGATTCCTGCTCGCAGCCGACATCGACCACGAGCTTGTCCCCGGAACTCCCCTTCGGCGTTGAATGCGTAGCCGGTGCTGCGTGTAAACATCGGCGCCGGGGAGACAAAGGCGGCCAGGCGAGGTGTTCTGGCGCCCACCCCCTTCGTTTGCCTTGCCGGCCTTCGTAGGTGCTGCTCACTCACAGCGCTTGCCTCGACAGCCTGTTAAGGCTACACGGGGGGATCTTTTGTTATCTTTGTGTTCGTGAGTGAGGTGCGTCAGTGAACTTGGGCTGTATAACGAATGGGTATCTTATCGGGACAGCTACATTTGCATTTCCATCGCTGCTTATATATGCACGTATGTACGTTGAACTTCTTTCGCACCGTACGTAGCCAACCGTGCTAATCGGAGGTGTGGGGGAAGGACAACTAAACGCGGGCCGTACAAGGCCCGCAAAATCATTTGGGTCTCTGGCCCTGCCAAGGCAACCGCAGGCGGGACTCGAAATTCAATAAATCTCGGAGCAAACCTGGAAAAGCAGTTGCGAGTAGCAACATCGTCAATACCGGCTAACATCATCAATACCAGCTAACATCATCAATACCAGCTAACATCGTCAATACCAGCTAACATCATCAATACCAGCTAACATCATCAATACCAGCTAACATCATCAATACCAGCTAACATCATCAATACCAGCTAACATCATCAATACCAGCTAGCATCATCAATACCAGCTAACATCATCAATACCAGCTAACGTCATCAATACCAGCTAACGTCATCAATACCAGCTAACATCATCAATACCAGCTAACATCATCACACGCCTCGCCAAAGAGAAGCAATTCCAGCCATCACATTAGGGGTGAGTTAATTAAATGTTTGACCAAATATAACGGGCTAATTTTTAAGTTGATAATTTTGTATGGCCCGCGAAAGATGTTATAAATATCCAAATGGCCCTTGGCAGAAAAAAGGTTCCCCACCCCTGATGATGATTTAAAAGTGCATAGCTCCAGTGGCTTCCTAATATCGGACAGTAGAGCGCTCCATACGGCCGTAGAAGCGTATCTGAGAGCGCGCGATACAGTGACCGTCTTTAATAATGAAATAATAACAACAACAGTAATACACTCCGGTTAGAAAACCAATTAACCCCTTCCCATATGTTGAGGTGTGCGCGCTGCTGCCTAATCCTGGCTACACACAGATTCAATTACCCTGGTGACTCACACAAGCACGCCAACCGCTCCCGCACGTCAGTATTTACTTCTGAGTGAAGAGGAGGCCAACATCCCTTTTCCACTGCGCAAACCGAGCCGTGCCAGAGCCCTTGCCGGCCGGGCGTGGGACAGGAAAGGCCCCGGGGGTTGGGTTTTTCCACTGCGGATGCAGAGCCGTGTCGTGCTCGCTGACGTCAAGACACGCATCCAGGGACTCTACTTACGAACACTGGACTTACGAACTTTCAGAGATACGAACAAACCTTCACGGATATCCAGTGGCCCGTTCAGACCAAGAGTCGTAAGTTCAACTGACCCGCGCAATAAATGGCAGTGGTGGCATCTCCGTCTGCGGAACACGAAGAACCAGTGGCATCTACATCTGCAGGAGATCATACAACTTTTAAAGCCATTCCCCGCGTTTAGTGTAAAACGCCGTACAACACGTTTCGATTCGACAGGAGTAAAGTTGGACTTACGAACAAATTGACTAACGAACGGACCTCTGGAACCGAACTCGTTCGTAAAGTGGAGAAGTCCCTGCAGTTGACGACGCGGTGACTCCGCGTCCTCACATGGCGTTGCCGACTGATTTTGCGCGCGCAACGAACGCCATCGTCAACCCTGCCCCCCCCCCCCTGGCCTCTGCTTGGGTTCGATCCTGACCCTGATGTGTATATTTGGAGTTTGTGGTGTCTATCTCTCTCTCCCCGTGGTTGCGTGGCGTTTTCTCCGGGTTGTTCCCTCCACATTTAGAATCGGCATCACGCGTTTAGAGTATTTGGCTGCTACGTGATCATGATGATGATGATGATAAGCCACATCGTCGAGTTATCATTTGTGGCCAGGTCGCTTCTGAAAAAAAAAGCTACGTAGCTCAGCGGGCCTTAGCTGGTAAACTATAAAATAGTTTACAGCTTTAGTTTAGGCCCGTGAAGATAGCAGCATGGCACGGTCTAGTTTTTCGGCTCAGCTCGGCAAACAGGCTGTGGAAAAAAAACTACCCGTACCGCGCTGGCTCGGTTCGGATGCGGCAATGTAAAAGGGGACATTATTATTTTTGGGGTTTGTTACTCGTTGCATTAAACCACGATGTGTCTCGTCTCAAAAACAAACAGAAAAAACTCATCAGTATTGAAATGAATGGTTAAATATCGCGTTGTCGTGTCAACCTCTTTGCTGCTTGTGACCCCCACGGCACGGGGAGGCCTTCATCTGGCGGTGGATTGACGAAGGGTTTGTAACCTCGTACCATATCCGGGCGCTGGTGGCTGTGCTGTCGCGCGTGTGGCCTGCAAGACAGCCCCTCTGGAGGCAGCGGCGGGGGGGAGGGGGGCGGTTGACGGATCACAACAACAACCGCCGCCGCTCACCACCAAGCGGAGGCGACGTCGCCAAGGCGGCTCGTGCCATGCTAGGTGCACTTTGAAACTCCCTCCCTGACACGGCGGGGCCGTCGATGTCGCCGCCGTGCTCCCGGCTTTCGGACGACGGGCACGGCGGGCAGTACAGCAAGTGGGCTCAGTTCCATCCGTGCCGGGATCGAGCGCAACTCGCACACGTTTGGGAGGTCTCTCTGGGAACTCCAGACTTCCACCCACCCCCACGTGTGTCAACAATGAGTGCAATTTGGCTAGAAACGTCTTAATATATAGTTAATATATACACACACGTAAAGGACAGCAGAGCTTGGGCAATTGTTGGTAGGGCTGTCTTCACGCTCGTCCGTGGTTGCACCCTCGCTCGTAAATTCTGCGGCAGAGGTTCGACTCCAAATTTGCATGATGTCGCCAGATACAACAAAAAATATATTAATAAAATGTGTTGTTAAGTGCGTGCCTTATGATTTTTTTTAAAGTGATGTATCCACGGTCCCTTAAAGGCGTGTACTCTTTTGAATATGCGTGGTGTAATTATAACGGGACAGTGGCTGTCCCTTGGATGGGGCAACTGGCCCCCCGCCATAGCAATGTGGAACTTCTGCCACTGGCTCGCGGGGTTGCGAATGTTTGAGTGCAACCGGTGCAAACTGAATTTAATTCTATTTTTTTTCTCTCTGTGTGCTTCACACAAAACGTTCATATCAACCTTGCATGTGTAATAAACACGTGGTGGGGATTTTATTGTGCTTCACGCGTTAATGTTTCTTACTGTGTTGAACTTATTCCGCAACGTGCGTGGCCAACCGTGGCTGATGAGAGGTGGGCCACTGAGATGAATTACACTCGCAAATATTCCTGAAGCACACAAACGCCTCCTGTGCCATAGCACAACCCCAGTCGCCACTGATTGGTTCGTTTCTCAGTCTGCTTGACCTGGTGAGGGTCACGGCAGCAGCGTGTTGAGGCGTGGCGGTCCACACCTCCCACTCCCTGGCGGCAGACTCCACCACTACACTACTATACACTACCATATACACTACACTATACACTACACTAAACACTACACTATACACTACAATATACACTACACTATACACTACACTATACACTACCATACACTACACTATACACTACACTATACACAACTATACACTACACTATACACTACACTATACACAACTATACATTACTACACTATACAATCCTATACATTGCGCTCCTATACACTATAACATACACTACTATACACTACACTACTCTACACTAGTACACTGCTATACACGACACTACTATACACTATTATACACTCCACTACTATACACTACACTATACACTACACTACTACACTAGACACTACAATACTATACACTACTATACTACTATACACTACACTACTACACTAGACACTACAATACTATACACTACTATACACCACACTACTGTACACTACTTTTCACTACACTACTATACACTACACTACTATACAACACACTACTATACACTACTTTTCACTACACTACTATACACTACACTACTATACACCACACTACTA